TATGCCTTTATGGTTCTTATTGACCATATAAAACGTTTAAGCTAAAAAAACATTTTTTTTATCATAACTGGCTGCTCAGAGAGTTCTCATGGGGAGTGTATGGAAGTGGTTTCCATGAAACGAATTACCCTAGCAATACGATTTCTAGATATCGTGTTCAGTCACGTACATTGCTAAGATACATCGGATTCTTTGTTATAGGTTTCTAATTTATTTACTCTTCACTCCCTTGAGATAAGATTATTTGAGTATACAACTTACTTGTCCAATCATCTTATTAGTAAATTATTTTTAATTAGGACCGTTTTATTTCCTTGTACTTTATTTAGACGTATTTTTGTTTTAGTTTCCCCTGTGTTACCAGAACTATGTACCAATACGCACGATATTCCCTTACTGTAGCCGCCATATCGAACTCGCGATCTCTCCTATCTCAAACGTTCTGGAAATTTGTGAAAGCAATTTTTGTAATCCAATCCTCCGGGGAGCTAAATTACACTCGTTTTCACAACCACCGCTTCTCGTATTCAAACAACGGAATCCTAGCAATCTATGCTCGTGTCGTTTTCGCCTGCAGCACGGGGCGGGGCGGAGCGGAGCGCATGCCTTGGCGAGAGCGAATGCGGAACCGGTCCAGTCCATTCGCCCTCGCGATCTTTCCGCCGACCCCCACCCCCGTTCAGATCGATGTGACTGAAGCTGCGGCCGGCGCGCAGCATTTGTTAATCCGACGCGCGATCGCCACAGCGCGCCGCCTCGCCCAGCGCGCGCGTTCAGAACAAACAGCGCGTTTCGCGAATATCCCGAGTGCCGTGAATCACACGTTCTGTTTGGCCACACACTGTAGAAATGCGCTGATATTGGGCGAGGGCGCAGCCGTTTCGTGCGCAATCTTTGTTGTTGCAAATCATGGTGATAGAGTCAGATCCACGCGGTGATATGGGCATACACACTGAAGGTATTGAAGTGTTGTTTGCCACTTCAACAAATATTTTAATATACGTAACATTCCCGCTATTAAAGATATAAGAGGCATTGACGTCCTATCAGAATCTGCACCCTGCGGTATAGTTAAAAAGTGGGGTATTTATTAGTTTAAAATATCTGTGTACGGTAGATATAAAATGTAGGGTTAATTCTATTGTTGTTATTATTATTGTTATTGTTATTATTATTAATATTTCGAAATATTCTTATAATTATATTATGTAAAAAATCATAATTACATTGTCTTCATATTTTCAATTATAATGTTTTTAAATTGTAGTCTTGTGACATAACCTATCTGGTTGCATAAACCTATCTGTAGAAATAATAAATACCTACTATATTTGGAACGAAAAATATTTTAGTTTCCTTCATAACTACAAATTTAGAAAAACATTCAAAGTATATTTCTTTGTTTAAAAAATATTTTCACGAAATACCTAAGAACATTTTAAACGACTTTAATATTTCAGAAAATGCCGGTCCGCTACCTTCTTTCTCCCGTGGTAAAGAACACGTTGCCCACTTTCATCCCAATATGTTCCGCCCCGCCCCACCCGCGCCCCGCTCCGCCGCACCCGCCCTCCTTGCCCGCCTCAGTGCACCCACCCCTTCCCCGACCTCCCCGCCCTATCCAAGCCTCGCACAAGCGCCGTGGGGGGGGACGCCATCCCCACTGATCGAATCTCGCGCAGTACTCTTTGGGCATTACAATTATTTCGTCAGCTCTTCGGCCAGCTGTTTACACGAAAAACAAGCGCTAATCTCTTACGCGAAGGCCCCGCTGGCACCAAACAGTCAGCGGACAACGCCTCCGAGTATCAAATTATCTCTTTAATTTATTCCCGAAAACTACACCCATTGCCATATTCACAGATTTAAAATGTTAGTGGTCGTTGTCACTTTAAGAGTGCTCCGGTCGAGGATCTAAGTGAGAGTCGCGCAGGGGAGAGCGTTAGGAATACAGGCTTAGAAGCTGGATTAATACCGGACGGTTACCAAAATGAGATTTGTAGAGTAACACACATAACTGCAGCAACGCTGCTGCAACGTGAAGCATCGTACGTTATCCTTAGTTTCTGGCTCTAAGTCTTCCTCTAATGTTCTTTCATTGAACGAGAAAGGGTGAGTAAAGAGCTTACTCAGCAAAACAGTACAGTTTTGCACAATGTAGGGTAAAGCAGTTTTTGAGGTTACGCCAGTTTTGAATCATCGGGCAACCACGTAAAATAAATGTGAAAGAAGGGAAAGATTTGTCGCTTGTTACCCAAACATCTGACGAGGAAAGTGACCTGCGTGTAATACTGAATGGACAATGGAATTTCTGCGAGAGTGCATGCAGCGTCTAATGAAGCATGGGATGCGGGCATCTTCAATCATTTCGTGCTCATGAGGGAAAAACTAAAGAGCTGGGCTGTAATCCGTTCGTTTAATTAGTTCGCGTCCACTTCTAACCCCTCATTCGACCTCCCCGGGCACAGCGGATGTCTTAACGCGGCAAGGACGCGAGCCGAGATCCCTAGGGCGGCCGGGGAGAGGCACGAGGGCGGGGTGGGGCGGGCGGGCGGAGCCTGGCGCAACCAAAACAGAAGAGGAGGAGAATTGACTCTGACTGGCGCGGGTCAGCCGCCCCAAGCTCGTTCCTGGCGGAACCCGCCGCGCAAGCCCAACTCGCCGCAACGTCGTCCGGGCGACGGCGCGTAATTG